TTTTTTGTTGGTAATTTCATTTTAAATAAAATTTAGATAATTTTAGTGCATGATTTTATTGGTGTTTGTATTTTAAGTTTAATGACATATATTAATAAAAATTATATGTGGCATGCATTGCCATTCTAAAGGTCTAAATAAAAAGATATAAAGATTCGTTTTAGTCCCTTCGCATTCACCAGGAGGTTACTTACAGAGATAGTTTTCTCAGTAAAAGAAGCTTCAACACAAACACCACGGTTATAATGAAACGAAGCGGCAGTAACACAACAATACTAAGTGATGACGAGATACAAATGATGAAAGCAAAAAGAAAAAAAAAAAACCTAATAATAGTACCAATTTGAAATAAACCGGCCGAACCGTTTATTAAAAAATCAATACTGCTTCACAAAAAATTAACCCTAAGTAAATAATACCAATTTTCAAGCAAAAATTCCAAACACTTGGTTTAACTTAATTGTCCAAATTCAAAAACAATACAAATTAATATTATTTAGTTGCATTAAATTGCTATACATGGTATGTAATATTTACTTTATATTCCTATTCTTAATTTCTTTATTGTCTATTAAAAAAAACATGCAATTTACACTACTTATTTGGATTAATAAATATACATAGACATGAAGAGCATCTCCAAATGACCTTTATATTATTCAAACTCTTATATAAAAGTTTACAATTACTATACTTACAAGAAATCTACAAAATTTATATACAATAGGGTGGCAAAATATGATGGAAGAGTGAACACAAAAGTCAAATTCACTTTCCATTCATTAGTGAAGAATATTTTCTTGTATATTTATATGATTGTACAATGAATTTATAGCAAAACAGGAAAACTAATCTAGGAAGTAAATTGTTACATTCCTATTATAATTCTATTTCCTATTTACAAAAGAATAATTCTATTTCCTATTTTACATTTCAACACTCCTCCTCAACTGGAGCATTAAATCATATGCACCAAGCTTGTTACAATAAACAACACGAGAACCCTTGAGAGACTTAGTGAGGATGTCTGCTAACTGGTCATTGGAACTGACATAACTAGTTGCAATACACCCTGATAGAACTTTCCTCGAACAAAGTACAATCATTCTATGTGTTTAGTCCTCTCATGAAACACTGGATTTGAAGCATATGAAGGGCAGCCTAATTATCACAGAGTACTTCATTTGTGATACTTCGCAAATCTCAACTCTTGAATTAGTTGTTTTAACCAAACCAGCTCACAAGTGGCTAAGCCCTTGCACGATACCTGCTTCAGCACTTGACCTTGCAACAACCGCTTGTTTCTTACTTTTCCATGAAACTAGGTTTCCTCCAACAAGAACACAAATCCTAAGGTAAACGTCTACATATGGAGAACCTGTCCAATCAGATTTGAATACCGACAATAGCGAATGGCCCTTAATTTCATACAGTAAGTCTTACCTGGTGCTCCCTTGTATACCTTAAAATCCTGACAACTGCATCCCAATGACTATCACACGGAGTTTGAAGGAACCGACTCACAACATTGACAGAAGGAAATATCCGATCGGGTGATAGTAAGAAAGTTAAGTTTCCAACAAGTCTTCGAACCTCCGGATCAGCAAGAGGCTCCCCCTATCCAGGTGAAAGTTTAATTAGGATCCATAGGAGATCTATTGGTCTGCAATCTGACATCCCTGTTTCCTCTAGAATATCCGTACATACTTCCTCTGAGAAATAACAATACCAGATTTAGACTGAGCGACTTCTATGCCAAGAAAGTATCTGAGTAGCCTTAAGTCTTTAGTCTAAAGTGTTTGAAAAGTGTTGCTTCAACTGTCCAATGCCATCTTGATCACTTCCTGTAATACATATCATCGACATAGACACCAGATAGATACATTGCCCTGATGATGTATGTCTATAGAAACAGAGTGATCAGACTCACATCGAATCATACCAAACTCTTGGATACTGTGCTAAATCGTCTAAACCAAGCACCGAGGAGACTGTTTTAGACCATATAGAGAACGACGAAGTTTACATACCAAACCAAACTCCCCCTGAGCAACAAAACCAGAGGTTGCTCCATATAATATCTCCCTGAAGTTCACCATGAAGAAAAGCTTCTTAATATCCAATTGATGCATTGGCCAGTTTATGGCAGGCCATAGCAACGAACAACCGGACAAAGACATCTTACAACAGGAGAAAAAGTGTCAAATAATATGTCCCATAGATCTGAGTGTATCCCTTGCCCACCAAACGGGCTTTCAGCCGATCAACCTTACCATCTGGACCAACCTTTACAGTGTAAACCATCGACAACCACAGTCGAATGCCCAGAGGTAAGGAAACTAACTCCCCATTATGATATGATGCAAAGCAGACTTCTTCAACCATTGCCTACGCCACCGCCGGGTGAGAAAGTGCTCCATGAACATTGCAAGGAACAGAAATAGAAGAAAGGGGGATACAAGGTATAATATGAAGGATATAAACGATGATAACTCAAAAATTGTAGATAGATGAGGGTTGTGTGTAGACCGCATACCTTTACGAATAGCAATGGGAAACTGATCAGCTGGAGTAGGACCGGTCATTGGAGGAATCAGGCACAGGACCTGCAGTGACAGGGATCTCAAGAACGATAGCGGGAACATCAGGATCACCTGTAAAGGAACAAGACTATTGTCGACAGGAAGAGTGGTATTGTAGTAACTGAGGTATCGAAACAGACGAAGTGGGAAAGCAACGTATGGTGGGAGAACATCTACTACCGGATCAGACTCCACTGGAGGATGAGGAAAAAATAGAGAAGACTCAAAAATGTAACATCAGCAGAGATGAAGTGCGATGTGTGGCGGAGAATAACACTTGTACCCTTCTGAAGACGTGAATACCTAAGAAATACATTTCGTAGACGTTGGCTGACAATTTATCCTGACCAGGAGGGAAAATATGAACAAAATAGGTGCTCCCAAAGACCGCAGGGGAAGAGAAAATAATAGAGTCTTAGTGAATAAATATTGGATTGTGAACACTGTCCTTGTAGACAGGAAAGAAGGCATGCGATTTATTAAGTAACAGGCGGTTAGAACCACGTCAGCCCAAAACCGGAAAGGGACGTGGCTATGTAAAAGAAGAGTACGAGCAGTTTCAATGAGGTGTCTATTTTTACGCTCAGCAATGCCATTCTGTTGGGGACTATAAGCACAAGAAGACTAATGAAGAATTCCCTGAGATGTCATGAATTTAGTAAAGGAATCAGAGAAATATTCACGAGCATTATCACTTCGTAATATACAAATGGTAGTATTATGTTGAGTCTTAATTTCAGCACAAAATAATGAAAATATGGAAAATAATTCAGAACGAGAGCGCATAATAAATAACCAAGTGCAACGGGAATAGTCATTAATAAATGTAACAAAATATTTAAATCCCAAAGTAGAGTTAACACGACAAGGACGCCACACATCTGAATGCACTAACTCAAAGGGGGACGCAGCCCGTTTATTGACACGCTTTGGAAAAGAACTACGAGTATGCTTTCCAAGCTGACACGACTCACAACTCAAGGATGATAATTTAGATAGACCTGGGATCATTTTCCGAAGTTTGGAAAGACTAGGATGGCCCAAACGACTATGAAGGAGATCCAAAGACTCGGAGACAATGCATGTTGTAGATGGGATATGGAGATGATAGAGACCCTGTGACTCACGTCCTGTGCCAATCATCTGTCCCGTGTCGCGATCCTGTATAACAATAGAGTCAGTATCAAAACGAATAGAGCAATTCAAGGAGCGGGTAAGTTTACTGACAGACATGAGATTAAATGGACATTTGGGAATATAAAGCACAGAGTCTAATGCTAAAGAGGGGAGGGGTTTTGCACATCCAATAGTTTGAACATTGGCTTTAGACCCATTGGCTAAAGTAACAGGAGGTAAAGATATAGTATTTGTAATCTGAGTAAGTAAATAAGGGTTACCAGAAATATGATCCGAGGCACCTGAATCTAGGACCCAGGGTCCTAAAGCGGAAGACTGAGAAAGGCAAGGAACTGAATTACCCATTTGAGCGATAGAGGCAATGGATGAAGAAGACTGCTTACTGGCCTGATATTGTAAGTATTCATCATAATCGGTACCTGTGAGAGTTAATGAGGGTTGAGCTAGCACTGTAGAGGACTCAGAATGAAGATCAGAGTGATCAGCCTGAGCAATATTAGCAGCTCGAGTAGGTCGACCATGTAACTTAAAACATTTCTCTTTGTTATGCCCCCACTGATGACAGTAACTACACTTGGGCCGATTTCCTCTGCCACTTCGATCACCCTATTCTCGAAAAGTGTGGGACTGAGAAACAAGGATCAAAGAGTCACCTGGGGAATGCACAGTAGTAGGGGAGGAAAACCGAAGTAATCTGGCAAACACTTCATCAAGGGAAGGCACGGTGGATCTAGAAAGAATTTGATCTGGAACAGGTGTAAGATCTGGACCGAGAGCTGCAAGTGTCAGGACCATAAAGAACTTGTCCCGTTGAGCCAAATCTTCTCCACAGATTTACCAGCTGGTAACAACAGATTGAATTCTGTCTTAAGGGAAGCCATCTTACCAAGGAAGTCCGACATATTCATATCCTGTTGTTTGAGATGAACTAGGTTGGACACAACAGAATATAAACGTTGAATGTCATTTGTATAGAGAAGTTTAGCCTGACTCCAAATATCAACACAAGAGCGGTAAGATTTATAAATAGGGTGAAGGNTTTTTAAACTTTAATTATTCATCTATGAAGAAATATCAAATTTCTGGGAGCACTACGTATTGTCATGTGTTTTGCTGGCCTGACTCAACTATCCCTCAAGCCTAGTTCAAAAGAGTCAAGAAACCCAGAAAAGCAACCATGGGTACATAAGTTTCGTATGCAAGCTTAAATCTGCACTTCAAATAAAAGAGTGTAAATTATAATAGAACGTTTGAATTGAAAAAGAAAAATACAAAAGGAACAGCAAATTAGGCGTATTCTCCAAAAAGCATGTAAAATATGAATATTGGCTCAAACGGCCAAGAAACTTCTCACAGTGAGATGAGTCAATCCAATAACTAGTCACCCAGCACATGCCTATGGGCATTTGCTGCTATGGATTTGAGATTCTGAGAGGAAACAAAAGTTAGATAAAATGCTATGAAGTGTGAGCTAATTTCAGAAACATGACAATCAAATAAGTTTCTTTTCCTTATCTACTGTAGAATGTTTTGATAACAACCATTGCTTTGCATTGGAGTAAAATGCGCACAACGCGAATTGGGGGAAGCACATAAGCATAATCATTGCTTCAAAGAGGTAAGGAAACTTCTCAGGAGGACGGATGGTTAAGTAAACAATATGAAGGATAGATGAGCACAGATAAAGAAAGCTGATCATAATTGATGCAATAGAAGAGGAATGATCGGTTTTCTTCAAACGGGATCTTCCACCAGGTGTAAGATATAGAAGAGTAAAGAGAGCATACATCGCCATGTACGGAAGAATCAGTTTGTCACGACAAAGGAGAGGAAACATAGAAAATAAGGCATGATGTGTCAACCATCGAAAAGGACGAGGCTCTTCTAGGGCTAATAGGCTTGCAGGCAGAAGCGGCAGCAGAATAGACTTCTCATGTACTGCAGAGATGTAAGTGATGATTTAAACAATTTTCACATGGGACAAAATGAACAAGTAAAGAAATTGTACTTACCTTGGAATGAAAATAAGTAGAATGAGAAAGAACTATTCATAAGCCCATAAAGGAAACCTTTGCCACTGGGAGCCAGTACTTGCTGAACCACTGAAGGTAGACAAGTCAAAACAGTTGCAGTAAAGCTAACTAACTTCAATGATTGTACTGTAAACAATCGCTTCCACTTTATGAGAATAGATGTGGTGCACCAAAAATTTGCAACATAGTCCTCGTATAACCCTCTCTCGAAAGGGGCAAGACGGGAAAGAACCTGCAAAGGGCACCAATTACCAATATTAAAGTAGAGAAAAAACTGATGAACAGCAGTTTAGCAGTTAGTTTGATATTCTACCACACTCAATATTTTACTTAGTTTTTCCTAGTTTATAAATCAAATCTACTTCCATTGCCAAAAAGCCTTTACATGTCCAGAGAAAAACAGTTGACATGATTACTTCAAGATTCAATGTACATGATATACTGGTCAATTGTAATGTACAGATATGACAAAATTTTAGCATAAAGCACATCCGACTAAATCATCAGATGGTCAACCTGTTTCATAAGTCTTATTCGAAGTGCAGAATCCTCACTGGATAATAGTTATCTTATCCAGACTATATTTAGAGCACTATATTCTAAATAAAAACCAAATCTTATCATTTTTTTTTACCGTAAGAGTCTCATTAAGAATGCTAGATCTTGAAACATGAGAAGTTATATATCTAAGCCAGAAAGACAAAAACCTATGTTAGTAGCCAACACATATTACTATCAGACCAACAAATTCATTTGTAAACAGAAGAGAAATTCTTAATGTTGTTTACCCCAAAAAAGTCATCTGCTGAATGAAGATATGGCCACCAAACAACAGCAAATGTTCCTATGACCACCAGGCCCAATTTTATCACTTCAAGAAGAGGACTTTTACACCTTAAGCATTTACCCAAGAGATGGCTGAAAAAAGCAGGAGCAAAATATGCACTCATCTGCGCAACAATGAAAATAATAAAACAATCAAAATACAAATTTGACAGAAACATAACACAAAACACCCACTTCAAAATAATCCTAAATAAATAAATGTAATTACAGCTTAAAATGGATTAGCTAGAGAAATGAATTAATCAGAGATTGTCATCTGTGACACATATTAAGATAACTAGCTAGTGATTGCCTTTTTCTCAATAATCCTCACATTAGCCTCTACCTGCTCAAAATGGCTGGGACATAAGTACCCCTAAAGAAGTTCAAAAGTGTAACTTAGTCAAAGCCCTACAATCAAATAACTATGAAAAAACTAGAGCTATCCATAGCATATTGAAAAGGATCATCAACTTCTTCCATTAAAATCGATTAAATTATGCCAAAATTCATTTGATATGCTCAAAAGCCACAAGTTTCTCCAGAAATCTAAGATACTGAGAAAAGCTAATGTTTCCAGAGACCAATTTCTTTTCCCATTTGCCTAATCTCTGTTATTTTCCTGAGTATTTTCACACACTCAAAATAGTAGCTCACATTGCTGGTTTGTTCATGTATGGATTTCTTTTTCATCTCATTGATGATACATCATCATTCTTCACCTTTGTTTTCAAAACTAATAGATTTGTTCCACTAGGAACCACATGTGACTACTCTTTTCAGGATATGTTAATGAACATAGACATCTTATTGCAAAATTTTATAAATTCTGAACTTGCAATGAGAGATGCAACTATTAAGCTCAAATTGGTAAGCTAAAATGTCCAATTGGCAGGTAAAAAGATAAAATAAGAAAATTAATTTGACAGACATAGATAATGAAAGACTGAACATGCAATGACATAAAGTGAGTTTAAGTTTGATTGTAGTTGTGCTTGCATGTGTCATGAGATGGAACTCTCAAGTATGGCCTGTTGTACAAAGCTCCTATTCGGAGATCCAATCATGAACAACAAAAAGTTATAAGGAAGCATATATTTTGCCAGTTCAACAGTGGCAAACAATGCCTCAACCAATTTTAAGCTGAAACTGAGTATCACCTAGTTAGAGGGACGTCAATGTTCAAATTCAATCAGTTGTCAGAGCATTATTTATTTAAATATAAATTTTAAGTATTGATAAGTTTTTTCTTTTAATACCCAGAAATTCCTCAAACTTTCCTATGTGTTCACTAAGTTTAGACTGAGAGCAACTTCTAGACCCTACCATCTCAGCTGCCAGGAAACTTGTAGATTAAAATATTCCAAGTATGTTTTCACAAGGGGATTTGGATCCTTGACCTTTGGTTGAATCAAGAGCTTTTACCACTTAATCCAACCCTTAAGGTTAAGTATGAATAATATTTGAACATAAGACTTAACTGAAGGTAACCCCAGAAATTCACCACTAGCACTAGAGCTATTTCATCAAGGTTCTCTTGGGATCAATCATCAAATCTGTAATAACAGGGATACAACTGGATTTGATCCACCTTCCCGCATCACTAGAATCTCCCAACTCTTTATATATCCCTATTTTTATATCTCTTTACTGCTATAGCTGCACTGTAATCAATAATCTTCTTGCAAATATTGAAACACATACATTGGAAGAGTAGAAAGACCATGGGCTCTAACTTCTGATGGTTACATATATATGTACCAACTTGTCACTCCAAGCTTCTGAGTGAACAAATAATATGATAGGAAACTAAACATTCCAGGAGGTTCAGAGGAGGGCATCAAGGGAATTACACAGCCTAGCAGCAAGGTGTACGTGAGGAAGAATAAAGTGGATTAGAAGGCCACATGGGAGTTGCTGGGAGTGCTTAAAAAGGAATATATATACGTGGCACCAGATTAGCAATTAGTTTGTTAGGCCTACAGACTAGTAGAATAAGTTTGTTAAGATAATTGGGTATAAGAAGATTACAAAAGATGTACAGGGTATGGGATTATTCACAAAAGTTGTATTGGGAGGTTCCTAGCTCCTCGAAGTGCCAGAGTTATCTTTTTCTTTTCATTTACTTCATTTTGTCTTCTTCATTTTCCATTAAAGTTCTCAGTACTGGAACATCAAGTATTGCAGATTATTAATACAAATATCAGCGCAATATTCATTGTTTAATCTTGCTATGAGTTGGTTGAGGGTGAATCATTCAGGTTCATACCATTGGTATCAGAGCCAAGGAATCCTTATGGTCAATACGAGGATGGAACCCAGGATTGAGGGATTGGAAAAAGATGTAGGAAGTGTTAAGGAGGACATCGGCAGTATCAAGGGGTATCTCGTGGAATTAAAAGAATGGATGCGATTGAGGGATAAGAAGGAGAAGAGTGGTGATCAAGGGAAAGATAAGGGAGAGACATCAGGCAATCAGAGGACTAATGGAGAAGGAAGCCCAGCACAATCGGAAAACACCGGAGGATTAGAGCGACTCAGAAATAGTGCGATTGATGGAGATGATCAGAAAATAAGAAAGATGGATTTACCCGTGTTCAATGGTGAAGACTCGGATGGATAGACTTTCCGAGCCGAACGGTATTTCAACATCAACAAGATTTCCGAGGCTGAGAAGATGGATTCAGCGGCGGTGTGCATGTAGGGAAGGGCTCTCAATTGGTTCCAGTGGATTGATTCAAGAGCTCCGTTTCCAAATTGGGGAACGTTTAAAAACATACTAATCGAACGATTTCGGCCCTCCTATAAGGGTTCTGCTTTTGAGTCTTTGGTGGCGTTGAAACAAACAGGAACTGTAACGGAATACCGCGAGCAGTTTGAGTTGTTTGCTGCACCGATGAATGAGGTAGGAGAAGAATTATTGATGGGCACATTCACTAATGGACTAAAAGAGGAGATTAAGGCAGATTTAAGAATTGCTAGGCCCACCTCACTTCTTGAATTAATGAACCAGGCCCACAGGATAGAGGAAAGAAATTGGATTGTAGACAAGTCTAAATTCAAACCAACACGAGCCCAATGGAATTTTAAAGCTGAATCAAATCAGTGGAATTTTAAAACTGAGCCAAACAAAATTGACCAACCATATACACGAGTTACACCCAGCCCAGAACCTCTTAGAATTAGCTGGGGCTCTGTTAGACCTCCCATACATAAGGTCTATAAATCCAAGGGCAAAAGAGGGAATAAGAATAACGAGGTGCTGGGCATGAGTTTGTTTTCAGGGGTTGAGGTGTGCAATAAAAGTTGTTAGGTTTGTGGAGTCTGTTATGAGTCTGGACAGGTGGCTGGACAGGTGGCTGTCAAGTCTGTTACAGAAGGGAATAACTTGCTTATAAATGGGAAAGAGAGTGGAGGGTAGGGGATATAGTTTATATTCTGGAAATTGGGTGGGAGGTCCCCAGCTCCTCGAACTGCTGGGATTTATCAGTTTGCTAATTGCATTTGTTCTGTTCTTTCATTCAGTAGCTATTAATACAATTTGTCATTCATACCATCTTTGCCTATTGCCTTGTGGTGTGTGTGTTGGTTGCCGTGAGCTTTGTGTTGCAGGAGGTTTCCAACAGGCTCCAACTACGCATAAAGTGCAGATCGCACCAGTGGAGTACAAACGCGATTTGAAAAGGGAGAAAGACCACCAGAATATTCACCAACAACACTTTGAGAGGGTAATTTCCGACAACTAACAGACACAGAAATGCAGTATAAAAGAGAAAGGGGGTTGTGTTTCACGTGCGATGAGAAATTTGGCCCCAATCATCGTTGCCGAAACAAAACACTGCAGATTTTGTATGTCACAGCTGATGAAGAGTCTGAGGAGGAAGAAACCATTCTGAAATCCGAGGATGAGACCCATACAGAAGGTACTCCTATTGCCCTATCTATGAGTTCCATTGTGGGTATACCTTCAGCAAACATGCTGAAGCTTCGTGGGTAGATTAAAGGGGATAGAGTCATAGTGTTGGTTGACACTGGGGCCTCCCATAACTTCATCTTTGAAGATCTGGTCAATAAGTTGCAGCTGGGTAGGGATGATACTAAGACTTTTGGCGTCATGGTGGGGAATGGGTATACAGTAAGGAGTACTGGGGTTTGTAGAGAAGTGAAACTAGAAATTCAGGGCATCACAGTTTGTCAAGATTTTTTTCCGTTTTGAGTTAGGAGGAGCGGATGTCGTTTTGGGAATAACCTGGCTGAGTTCTTTGGGGGATACGTGTTCTAATTGGAAGAGCCTAACAATGAAGTTTGAAGTTCATGGAAAATCAGTGACTCTACGGGGAGATCCTTCCTTAGTGAAAAGAGTGGTTTCGTTAAAAGCAATGCTCAAATCACTGCACCAACAGGGGGAGGGATATGTTATTGAGTTCTGTTCTATTACTCATCCAGATAGTGTTTCAGCCCCAATTTTGCATCCGAAAGTGGAGGTTGTTCTGACCGAATTTTCTAGTCTCTTTGATCAACCAGGAACTCTTCACCCCCATCGTAAAAGAGATCATGCCATCACTCTCAAAGAAGGGGCTCAACCCCCCAACATTCAGCCTTACCGATACCCGTTTTTTCAAAAGAATGAGATAGAGAAATTGGTGGGTGAGATGCTTGCGACTGGTATTATCCAACCTAGCATAAGTCCCTTTTCGAGCCCCGTTTTACTAGTTAAAAAGAAGGATGGAAGTTGGAGATTTTGCGTCGACTATCAGGCTTTGAATGATCTCACCATTCCCAATAAATTTCCGATACCCACCATCGATGAGTTATTGGATGAGTTAGGGGGCGCTTCCATATTTTCAAAACTTGTCCTTACATCGGGCTACCACCAGATTCGGGTTCGAGATGAGGATATCCCAAAGACTGCCTTTCGAACCCATGAAGGCCATTATGAGTTTTTAGTTATGCCATTCGGCCTGACTAACGCTCCCTCCACATTCCAAGCATTGATGAATGACATCTTCAAGCCATTCCTCAGCAAATTCATTCTTGTTTTTTTTGATGACATTCTGATATATAGCACTGATTTGTTTACTCACATTCTGAATTTGAGACAGGCTTTCCAGACATTACAGGAGCA